TTTTCCAGAACTTTGGTTATGTCACCGAAACCCGCTTCCAGTCTGACCGCGGATTTGCCTTCATTAAGATGGACACTCATGAGAATGCGGCAATGGCCATTTGCCAGCTCAACGGCTACAACGTCAACGGCCGTCCTCTGAAGTGCAGCGTAGGTTGAGTCGTTCTCTTTTGTTATTTCTTAGCTCACATTTTTAATCTAGTGGGGCAAAGACCGTCCTCCGACTGGCCAGTTTGAGGGTTACTCGCCTGCGGGCGGGCCCAACTCAGCTTATCCTCAGACGCCAAGCGCGTACTTTCCTCAGTATGGTGGTGGGCCACAAGGTGGTCCCATGTCACCCTCAGGTGAGCGGCACCGGAGGAAGCTGCAGTATCGAAACAAGCAATCTAATGCGCGGGCAGGACCCAGCCCCGGCGGACAACCCTTCGCGCAGCAGCAGCAAGCCTTTGGCAACCCTGGCATGCCTTACCAGCAACAGATGCAGCAGCCAGGCAGCGCTGGCGGCTACGGCCGTGGCGCTCCCCAACAACCTCAATGGGGACAGTCTCCTCAGGCAGCCTTCAACCAGAATGGCTTTGGAGGATACCAGGGCTAAGCACCTCGTTTGTTAGATTTGTCTCTTCAGCGCTGTGCCCTCTATTGTCCCAACACGCCTGTTTGCTTACGGGGGCGCTGTTTTGGATAGCTCCGATTTCTGGTCATATTTCATCAGCTACTCGGTTTTATGTTCTTAGGGAGTCGTTATTAATTCCGTTGTCCAAAATGGTGCAAGCGTTGTTGTCCTATGGCATGGCTGGTACATTTCTTGTGGGATCTGGTTCACGGTCGTTTGGTTCAAAATGAATCTCCTATCTCGTGTTAGTTTTCTGTTGCTTCAGGCCTCGGCTCTGATTACCCCTTCACTATCTATTATGACGTTGAATCTTCTCCTTGATACCAGCGAATTCTCTTCTTGATACCAAAGCGAGTTCTTATGATACCAGAAGTGGATTTCTTGTGGCGCGCGCTGGTCGTCGCGGTATGACTTTGGATAGTATACTATACTGTGGACTAGATGGTAGTACTGATGGTGATGGAGACGTAATAGAATGGTACGAGGCACTGAAGCCACAAGCATACAAGACATATTCTCGCCAAAGTGAGGTCTGCACCAGTACGTCATAGAGCCGCCTAGAGGCAGTCAAATTCTGTACCTGCGTCAAGGTGCCTGGGATCCTGCAGGTTCCATCAAGCTTTCAGATACACCGCAGAAACACCGTTGTGATGACGGCACGTGACGTACTGTTCTAGCGCATCCGCATTGAGATGTCGTGTCGCGTTTTGTGGGCCCGTCCGCTAATTGATGCTAACATTCACACCCCACCGCGCCGGATGGCATGCACACACTCGACATCATCTCGGTAATCCTTTCTTTTGTCGGCGCTCTCTTTGTTTGCTGTATGCTTGCCACCCTCGGGGAGAGAGGTGCGTCGCTTAAACCGTACAATCCGAAACGGTCGCCGCTCTTTTGCATCCCACATCCCGCTCGGACGTATTCGCCTCCAACACGGTCCCTCACGCACCTTCCGCGTACGCGTTTCTCGACATCACACCTGCAGCCGCCGACCGCTTCGCCCACAACCACACCCCGCCACTACTTTTGCTACCTCTCCACTCGCCTGCACACGACGACCACCATGTTCAAGTCAGCGGTGCAGAACCACAATGCCATCGCGTCTACATCACCCCCGGACAACGCCTACAAGCAGGCTTCGCTCGGGAACGCCTTCAATCGCACCGGGCCAAAGACATCGTCGACGCGTCCTGTAGGAAACGAGATGAAAGCGGCCATTGGAGCAACTACACAAGGGACCAAGCGGACGTCGAATGGGCTGGTCAAGTCGCTGAACTCGCAAGAGGATAACTTTGACTACCCCTCACTCAACATTGCTGAGATTGACGAGAAGGAGAACGATCTGCCGGCTGCATTCCACACATCTTCGCGCAACAACCCCGGCGTCCTAGCCCAGGCTTTGTTTGATGAGGACGACTTCGATAGCGACATAGATCTCGATGTTGAAGACCCAGCGACAAAGGGCACTGTCACATATCCTACGTTACCTCGCGTTGGTTCGGGAGGCTCAGCCGATTCGGGGTACAACTCGAGAGCGCACACTGCGGATCTCAAGCCAGAGCAGCCTAGTAGCCAGCCAATACCGTGGTCTTCTTCGCCCCTATCGCACTACAAGACACCGCAGAAGCCCGAGCCGCCGAAGACAAAGCGTCGTACTCTACCGTGGACACAGGCCCAGAAGCAGCAATCGATACAGGAAGAGGAGGAGGAAGAGGAGATTGCGCCACCTAGGAAAAGAGTGGTCAAGGAGGCCGACAAGGCAGTGTCAACACCAGTGAAGGAGTCGAAATCACAATACCCTTGGAACACGACCCAGAGCGCGCTGAAGCAGCAGCAGAAGACTTTTAGGGAGACCAACAAAGCTCAAGCGAAGGCGAACCTTGGCACAGATGAGGACATGAAGGAGGCCATTAAGAAAAAGAAGAAGAACACCATCCACAAGATCTTCCTCAGTGAAGAACAACAGAATGTGCTGAACCTGGTGACGGAGTACAAGAAGAGTGTCTTCTTCACTGGATCTGCTGGTATGTGTAGTGGATTGTTTGTAAACGCCCATGCTGACAACGACAGGTACTGGTAAATCAGTCTTACTCCGTGAGATTATCGCTGCGCTACGACGGAAATACGCCCGCGAGCCAGATCGCGTGGCAGTGACAGCGTCAACAGGTCTAGCAGCATGCAACATCGGCGGTGTCACCCTACACAGTTTTGCAGGCATCGGCCTTGGCAAAGAGCCTGTAGAGGACTTGGTCAAGAAAATCAGACGGAACCAGAAAGCCAAGCAGCGGTGGATGCGTACCAAAGTACTGATCATGGATGAGGTGTCGATGGTGGACGGCGATTTATTCGACAAACTTGAGTCCATTGCGCGGACGATTCGCAACAACGGCAGGCCGTTTGGCGGTATTCAGCTTGTCATCACCGGCGACTTCTTCCAATTACCCCCAGTACCAGAATCTGGACGGCAAGCCAAATTCGCCTTCGATGCAGGCACCTGGACTACAAGCATCGAGCACACCATTGGTCTACACCACGTCTTCCGTCAAAAAGACCCAGTCTTTGCGAACATGCTCAACGAGATGCGAGAGGGCCGCCTGACTCAAGACTCAATCCAGAAATTTAAGCAATTGGAACGACCACTACCAAAGGGAGATGAGAGCGTCGAAGCCACAGAACTTTTTCCCACGCGCCAGGAGGTCGACCGGGCAAACACTACGCGTATGCAACAACTTCACGGCAATGTCTTCTTGTTTGAAGCTCGCGACGGAGGTACGATCACGAACAAGGAGCAGCGCGACAGACTACTACAGAGCTGCATGGTACCAGCGCAAATACACCTCAAGAAAGGCGCTCAGGTCATGTTGGTCAAGAACATGGACGACACACTAGTGAACGGTTCGCTGGGCAAGATTACGGGATTCATGACCGAGCAGATGTTCAACGTCTATAAGGAGGACGAGGAGGCCTTCCTCGAAGGTGGACCCTCCGAGGCCGCCATCAAGACTGAGATGATGAAGAGCTCGCTCGGTGTAAACAGCAACCAGGTATATCCTGTCGTCCGATTCGCCATTGCAGACGGCACCACGCGCGATCTGCTATGCAAGCGCGAAGACTGGAAGATCGAGCTGCCAAACGGCGAGGTACAAGCCTCGCGTTCCCAAATCCCACTCATCCTTGCATGGGCGCTCTCCATCCATAAGGCGCAAGGTCAGACGCTGGAGCGAGTGCGCGTCGATCTCGGTCGCGTTTTCGAAAAGGGCCAAGCATATGTCGCGCTCTCCCGTGCCACGAGCATGGCCGGTCTGCAGATTTTGCGATTCGATCCCAGGAAGGTTATTGCACACGAGAAGGTGCGAACATTCTACGCTGGTTTGAGTAGAGCGGAACAAGTCGAGGGCAAGGCGAAGAGCAAGACTATCCTCGGCAAGATGCAGGCTGCGAAGAAGAGGAGTGGTGATGACTAAGAAAGGTGGCTATGCGAGGTAGGATATGGTGTATATCGGGTTACGATACGATGGCGTAGGTGGTGTTATTACTTCTGGTGTATCAACGGCGTTTATCGAATCTCGATGCTTACATGGCTAGAAAGCATGGTTCTCGCGGTCTGTAGCGACCTAATCTTCTCTCACGCGGCGTCGTCTGGCTAGGGGCATAGAAAGATACCAAATCACATCATTGGACATGATCGAGATCAAGGATACGTGTATTTTCTTTCCTGGTTTCCACCTCAATGTTCTACTTAATCATCCTCAGTATCTAAACGCCCGCGATCTTCCCAGGCTCCCTTGGCTGCAACCCCAGCCGCCCCGCTATGTCACTCATCCTGTCACAGTTTGCAGTCTTGGTTCAAACAGCATTAAGGTGTTCGCGTTCCACCCCAAAAAGATTACCTTAAGCTGCAATGATCTACAGCACCGACGCCCTAGACAGATAAGTATGGATAGCCGAGGCGCTGACCCACACCGCCCACCTTCCGTCTCCACCACCAAAAAAATGGCAAAAAGAAGCCCAAAAACATACAACAGCGGGGATTCGCTAGTGGTCACCCACCTAACTACTAATCCGCCGGTATCATGCTTGTATATGGCTGAGCGGACGGGAAGCCTAATTTTCATGATCCTATGGTCGTATGTGCAAGATAAAGCGAGTCTGGGTATTATATACTCATCACAAACGAGCTCACCGTATGTTGGCGGCCATGTACACTACAGCTACTCAATGGACCATTGGCGACTGTCAAGTACTCCACGAGGGCAATGGTCTCTATCAACAAACGCTTAGCAGCTAGCTCTGAGTAGCTGTGCCTGATCAGAGTACACAGCAAGCAGTGTTACGGTGGAATGTTGATGCAGAGCAGGGCACCAAAACGCGGTCAAGTATATAATAATCTAAATGCGGGTGTATTTCCCAAACACCTTATATTCGCTGTAATGCGGCAGTAACAAGCAGATTCTAACCGAAGACAAATCAACAGCTCTTTCGACTTCTAGCTGTACCCTTGAGAGTTATACTCTGCTGTTGGAGAGAGGAGAAACACTTCTGCGGCTCCCGTCTGTATCCGAATCATCCAATGGAACATTCACGTAACTCGAATTTGCCACCGACGACGCAGCAGAATCCCCCCTTCTCTTTACACCTTTCCCAGCCATACTTCCCACAAAGCTGACTTCCTTCAGGTACTGCACAAAGGGCATCTTCTCGATACCTACATGTACAACACTGTCCTCACCGCCTACATAGCTGCCGTACCCGTACCTGCAGCCCAACTCTTCAAGATACTTCTCGCGCTCTTTGTTCGTCATGTAAGCTGTACCGCGTAGATCCTTGACAGCAGCGCTTGAAGCAAAGAGTGCAATAACCGCAGCGAGACTGGTAGGCATGCGCGCGAGATAGCGACCTGGACGGCGCAAGTAGACGATGAGAGAGACGACAATGTAGATGCTGAGGATACACTCCGAGATGATGAATAGGGGAGTGACAAATAGCAGGCGTTCTTCAGGTGTTATGACGATGCCAGAGACCTGTGGCGTTGTTGTGTTGTTTGCCGGCACGAAAAGAAGCTCCCTGTTCACACCGAGCCAAATGGCAAAGAGTCGTGAGTATGCTTGGTTCATTGGCGTCTCGACGTCTGCGAATGTGGGTAGTGGCATGTTTGGGTCCGTCAGCCGTAGCGATCCTCCAGCTCGATTCATGAAGTAGTGGATGAACTCGCTGGCGAAGGTGTCGTTATGCCACAAGGGCTGTAGAGTTCGAAAGATGAATAAGCTCGATTGTGACATGAGTTCGGCAGCGCCGTTCGAGAAGTATTTGTCAAGTGCTTGAGAGCTTTGATCCTGATCAGGTGCGAGATCTCTTGCTGGCTGTGTCAAAACGCCCGTTTTGTCGACGATTACGGTGGCATCACCGACTTAGATCTCTGGCTGGCACAACATGAGGAAAGTGTTGTTGCTGGCAGCATCCTCAAATCCCGGATAAGAAGTCACTGGATGCGCGTCCGGGTCTGTCAGGATTTGTCTTCGCCGAAAATCGCCCATACCAAGTGGTCCATCACAGTATTGATGCGTAGCCCGAATCCATCCAACTGCGACTGCAGACCTGCATATTGCCTTTTCTTCTCCGGTGGCGTCAAGGTCGGCCTGGAGAGATGTCGCTATTTCTGCTCCGACTTTGCCGTCACGACAGAGGGTTGCATTATACTGAGCATGCCAACGACTGGTTGATCCGTAGTTTGTGGCGAACAGATTGCCATCCGTACCATAGCATGTGGTTCGCCTTCCGCTTGTAGATGTTACTGTGACATTGAGAACTTGTTTCCAGTCGACAAATTTATCGGTCCATAGATGCATATGATAGTCTTGGTCGAATGTGAGAGGTTTGCATCTTGGTTCTGCAGCAAAATATTTGGTACGAGCTTGATAATAACTCTCTGTGGATAGACTGACTGTTTCGCGGTCTTTGAATGAAGCGTAGGTAGCTTTCTTATCTGTCCAGGCTGGTAAGGGAGTATGACGTGTCAAGTTAGACTCTGCCACCAAGAAATGGCTCTCCCCCGTGGACCCCTGGTAAGCACCTGACATCTCGGGCCTCCAGCTAGCTGAGGCCAAAAACGGATTTTCCATAATTGGTGGACCTGACGAGCCGTTGATGTGTATAAATCTTGCCTCGAAAGGTGGCGAAAATGATGCTGACTGGGGGAGTGACAGTGTTGCGCTGAAGAAAAGACCCGCGAATGCAGTTGCTAATAGGTTTGCTAATAGACTCATTGCACAGACTGCTGCTAATAGGTAATGACCAGCTCGAGCTGCTTTGAAGAGTGTAAGTTGGGGAGGGAGAGAACCATAACTGAGAGTTATGCTCCGGGACGCAGCTGCTCTCGGGCCACGCATTTGCTCTATAGGCTGTAAAACACAAAAGAGTCTGTTGATCATAATCCAAAGCGGTTCGATGAGAGTAGCAATAGCTGTGGGAAGATACTGGGTAACGATGTTCTGAACGATGCGATCATTCGACGGCAGCGATAGCCCTAGATGGTATCAGTAAGAACGATTGCATTCAATCAAGTCAGGGTCATTGTATGTTATGGATTGCGCGACACCACTTACCGTATGGCCGAGATCGAGTGAAGAGAACGGTAAGGGCTATCACTAAAGCCACAAAAAGGCTGATGAAAGGAACTCCAGTAACCAAACGGAATTCCATAGGTCTCATGGGCTTTGATAATCGTGGTTCGTTGGTTCTGAGTGAGGGCTGTTGCAGCTTCGAGCTGAGAGCTACATTTCTTATGCTGCAATGTGTGAGTTGTGTACGCTGTGAGATGCTCAGAGTACTGACCCATGATCTTTTTCGAGTTTGAATCCGCTTGCATGGAGCTTTTGATTGAAATATTGCGTTGACGCACAATCTAGATCTCCAAATCTGGCAAGTAGATCGGCATTGTCTGCCATCATCGACATGATAGAAGCCAAAGAAGCTGAACATGAGTAAGAGGCTATGAATACGATAGGTGTCATGCTTACCAGGGTCGTCAACTAGTGCTCTTTTATTCTGCCCCGCATGCCCAATACAAATTAGAGCTATCGCTGCCATTGAGATTACGGCAAGAAACCCCTCAACCATGTACGTGAAGATGGGTTCAAGCACCACTGCTTCCATTTGCGTCCGGAACGACCCTGGCGATTTCGTACTAGTTGGTGTAGAAACATTGGGGTTGAGGATGTCAGCCATTGCACGAGCGAAGAAAAGTTGATACACAATCTCATATGCGCTTGCTAACTTTTCCGAGTCCAGTAGCTCTGGCAAACGATCTTTTGATACGGACATAACGGTTGTCATCATAGGCGAAGCTGTAGATGGTGTCAGGTCTGTATTGTACAAGTTTTCGAGGTACCGAGGCAAGGTGCTCATAGGCAAATTGTCTTGTCTTGTCTGAAGCAGGCGAGTACCAGAGGCGAGTGTTTCCTCGAAGACGGTAGCGTTAAATACCTCTGCGGAAATCTTGCGCCTTGTACTGGAAAGACTAATGTTTTGCGGTTTTCCAGTTGTCGCATCCACGCTTGCCTCAACATCCTGCTCATAGTAAACTGGCTTACAAAATATGTCCGTAATGTTGCTGGGCGGATCCTGCTTTCTTTCTTTGTTTTGGGTGAATGCCGCAAAGAAGGTCCCGTTTCCCCGAAATCGACACCACCGCTGGTCTTGAAGAGATTCGATTCCGACCGAAGATGCTGCATGAACTGGAGAGAAATAGCCCATATACGATGCAGAGAACTTCTTGAATCGAATCGACTGCTGCCGGCCTATGATGTCTCCAACTACGGCGCCGTTTTGTTGTGGCGAAGACACGTAACAGCCAACAGAATTATTGAATCCGGCTTCGCTTGAAAAAGACCATGTTATGTTGCGTAGAACGTTAGTCCCTGGTCCAGCCTGCACAAGCCCCTCTTCTGACGAGGTTTCGTTTCTTACTCCTGCTTTTTGCGCCTTTCCGCATTCAAGATTCATACTGTACATGATAGTACGTGCTGTCCAGGAGTCTCCAGTACTGGGTATGAGACCTTGAGTAGTGAAAGGTCGTAGGGTATAATTGCGAGCGGTAAAGGCTGGCATTGTTTCGTTCAACTCCAAGATGCCATATACGGATTGCGCATAGCTCAAGGTCACAGCCTGCTCTTGCATTGAAGAGTGTATGAAATCATCCGATGTGTCGAAATTTTGCACGAAATCCCTGGTGATCGGCCGTGTCGAGAATATACCTGCTTGTAATGGTACAACGCCGAATGTAGTAGGAACGGTTGCCAATGAGGCCCAGAACACAAGCCAATGCCTATACAGACTTCGTCAGCACTTTTGAGCTCTTTATGAAGTATGGTGTAGGACTCACCTCCTTTTAGCTGCTATTATAGGTACAATCGGGATGTAGTCAAAAGGATAGTGCAATAGAATGGAATTTGCCGCTGACGCTCCACATGGCTGTGCCATGTGCCGATAGGGCTCATAACGCTTAGCATCGTGGTCGATCCAAATGATGAGGATGCTGAAAGTTACAGCAATGATCGTTGGCAGATAGAGGTACCAGAATGAGCGACGTAGGGGAAGTGAGTTCACCGTTGTGGCAAAAATCACCCCACCTTGAGTCTGGCTTCTCTGGAGACAGTATTGAAGAACAGCAATAAAGGTCCAGCAGAGTAGTGCAGTTATGGCGAGGGTCCACCATCATAGCGCGGGAGGGTACCAGCTTTGACGGGATTGCGGGCCATCCTTTCGTTTTGGGACTAGCGTCGAAGGGCGGAATCTGAACGCTTCGAATCGTACCATTTCTTTCTACTGCAACAGCGTGCGTTAGAGAACTTCACCTTTTTCCTCCGCCTGGATATCGTTGAGATGACTTTGGAGTGCTAGTAGTGGTGCTGTCGAAGTGTACCTTTTGGCCCCCATACGCGGGTGGAATTGATTGATGGTGATAGTTCGCCGAGGCGGTAGCATGTTGTCTTATCTGAAAGTCGTCAGCGCATAAGAGACGGAGTCGCCTTGCGCACCAACTGGTGATACCAAGGCGATGTGCGGACTGGTAACATCCTATGGGGAGCAGCCGTAAGCAAGCGCTGTGGGGCGGAGTCAGCTCGGTCATTGGTCATTGGAACATGGCCCTGTCCTCCACCTCTGTTATTAGAGCGGGCTGTGACTTCAATTCGCCCAACAGAGATCATCTGCTTTGCGCATGGTCGTATGTACAGCACAAGGTGTTTTGGCGTAACAAAATGTCAGCGGCGGTAGATCTGGGGTCCAGCAAAGTGCGCCTTCTATATACAGGAGCTAGATAAGCACCTCATCTGACGTGCAGTCGTTCAGCGAGGGCAACGCTGTGCAAGCCGAATGTTGGCTACCAGTGGTGAGTGTCGGCATACCACTGGCCTCCGATGCATCACCACTATCCGACAACGCCCTTCTTTCTCGGCACAAATCTACATATCACGGGTTCTGCACACTTAAGGTTAAGCTCAACCTTGATCTTCATCTCCTCTGATCCATTCTTCCCACCACCAAGACCACACCACTCTATCCCCTCGAACTCCTGCAGCGACCGAACGAGCACATACTGAATCTGAAACCTGCCGAACACTCTCCCAGGACACTGTCTCGGGCCAATGCTAAAGGGCAAGTAAGTTCCATATTTAGGTGACCAGGACTCCCAGCGCGATGGGTCCCAGATGTGTGCCGTGGGGCCGTATAAAGTGGGGTTGCGTTGTAGGCCTGCGACTGAGTATACGATGATCTGGCCTTTCGCAACGGAAATAGGTTCTTTGCCTTCTAGACCGCCGCCGACGGGTAGGATGGCGTCAGTGCGGGCTTCGCGGATATTGAGACCGAGGGGGTGGTACATGCGCATCGATTCTTTGACGGTGTTGGCGAGGAGGTCGAGTTTGCGGAGTTGGGAGGTCGTGGGAAGGGTGTCCAGACCGATGCTGTGGAAACGAGGTCGGTTAGTGGTATGTCCCTGTCTTTCATGCTGCCGTGGAAACAGATGATGCACTTACTGCTCTTCCACCTCTCTCTGTAGTTTCTTCCACAACACTGGGTCGCGGGCGAGGTGGTATATCGTCCAAGTCGTCAAAATAGCACCAGGGTCTTTGGATGCCATCAGGACGGCAATGAGCTGACCGCGGATGAAATAACGATCGTTTGGATGCGTAGAGACAAGATCTTCGACTAAGTTGAACTCCTTTTCTGTTTTCACGTCGGTTTGGTTGTTGACTGGGAGGGCTAGTGTCTTTTCGATCAGATCGTCGATGTAGTGTGTTAGATCGCGGTATGCTCTTGGTGCAAAGAGCCAGTCGGGAAAGAGGTTTGCGAGACGTCCGAAAAGGAGACGATTCGTATTGAACGTAAGGAGTTCTTCCATGGCTTTGCGAAAGGGCTGCTCGTCTGCGGAGAGGGAGTTTGTGGATTCGCCGAGAAAGACTTGGGAGACTAGGTCGAGTTGGAACCTGTCGACCATGTCGTACACATCCACCCTTTCTGGTGAGTTCTCGATCAATCTCAAAAGCTTCTGCATGTGGACTTCAGCGGTAGGAATATCATCCGGGCGCACTCTCGACACGTGCGGCTCCAATTGCTCCCTACTCGTCCTCCACAAAGGCCCGTCCGTGGTAAACACTGAGTCCCCCAAGATACTGCTAAACACATCATGTGGCGTCTGGCCTTTCGCGAAGTCCGTAAACTGATCTGCCTGGATGGCCTTGATGTTCTCGGCTCGGTCGGTAATGAAAATGTCGCTGCCTAGTAGGTTCATTTCGACTGTGCGGCCCGGTATAGAGAGGACTTCGTCGCAGATGTATTCGACGAAGGTGTTGGAGTGAAGGCGCGTTATTAGGTTCCATGCCATGTCTAGTCCTGTGGTTCATGAGGTGGTCAGTCTCACCGTCATATCCAAGTGACGCGAAAACTGCTAACCAAAGGGTAGTTTGTACGGGAGGCGAGGAGCATGCGGAATTGAGGATCTCGTCTTGTTTCCATCTTTCAGTTTTGAGGCTAGAATAATAAGGAAGACAATCGTCACTGCGCCGTACAACAGCAACTTTGAGATATCGTCCTCTATAGTAGTTAGAACGCCCATCTTCGTGGTTGGTTACTGGCCAGATGAAAGTCTTGATGAATATAGGATGCAACGTCTTCCTCTAGGTGTGCAAGGACCGGCACACGATGTATGTGCTCATCTAGTTCGACTCCAGCGCTAGACTCGCTAGGAACTTGGAGGGAACCAACGGATTGGACCACGATCAACAAGGTACTGAGGCTCCAAGTGGGTTATGGATTAGTCAAAATCGTTCACCATGGCTAGATCAGAGATGAAGCCGCTTGGGTGGGCTCCAGGTGCGTCGATTCGGGGTGACGTCGGATCGGCATGACTTCGGATAGGCTGATCTGGGGGTACTGCGGATGGAGCTAACGGAACGACTTCGGATAGGGCTATACATAAACGTTGCGGTAAGCTTTCTGCCGTGCAACGGCAAGCTCCATGAAGCCAGTGAATCGTGTCCTAGCCACAGTACTTTTGTACTAGCCTCCGGCTCAGGTTGTAACACTCTAGCTCCGAATGGTCGAGGATGTCAGTATTCTGGTAACCATCTCTATCTCCCGGAACAACTGCTGAGCCATCCATGGCTGCACTGGGCGACTCCCCCCTCAGAGGGCTAGCTCTCATTGCCAAATGCGCCTTCGAGCCCATCGTTACCGGCCCTCTTTTTGGCTTATTGCTATACGCCCCAGAGAAGACATGGAGTTGCGCCTTGGAAGCAACATCTCTTTCGCATATCGTCGATGAATACAACTTGCTCCGCGTACTGGGGTTTCTAGCTGCTATCGGTATAGTCAGGAAGACCAATGCAGCTCTGAACGCGTGGGCAACAAATAACTGGCAAATATATGCCGGTCGTGGCTGGAACTGGCCTACTGAGATCGCAGTGGTCACTGGAGGATGCAGTGGAATTGGCAAAGCCATCGCAGAATCTCTCACTTCTCATGGAATTCGCGTGGCAGTGCTGGACGTGCAGGATGCGCCCAAGATATCCGCATCGAACAACTTGTCGACATACTTCCGGTGCGACATCTCCAGCCCTGAATCGATAGCAAAAACAGCCGAGAAGATTCGCAAAGACCTTGGCAGTCCCTCAATTCTCGTCAACAACGCCGGCATCACGGGTTCTCACACCATTTTGAAAACGCCGAGCGAGTTCCTCAGTCGTATCTTCGACACGAACATTCTTTCCCACTGGCGGCTAGTTCAACAGTTTGTGCCGGACATGGTCGCAAAGAACAAAGGCCATATCGTAACAGTCGCGAGCGTCAACTCGTTCCTGACGAACTCGGCTAACGCGGACTATGTGGCAACCAAGACCGCGGCTTTGGCGTTCCATGAGGGTCTTACGAGCGAGCTTAAAATCTGGTACAAAGCTTCGGGTGTCAAGACTACGATTGCGCATCCGAGTTGGGTCCGCACGCCCCTGATTGAGGAGATGATCTTGAGAAGTGGCCAAGACCCAAAGATTCTCGAGAAGATGTTGATGCCAGAGGAAGTTGCTGAGGTCATAGTGATGCAGATCATTAGCAGGCGTGGTGCTCAGTTGTTCATTCCTAGTATCGCGGCGCCTATCTCATGGTTGAAAGGGTTGCCGAACTGGGTACAGGAGCTTGTGAGAGACGCGTTTGGGAAAACGAGTGCTGTCACCAGTAGTTCGATGATCGCGTACTAGATGTCAACACTCGATTAAAACGTGTATTGAAGCATGGACGCCAGGTTGACGTTCCAGTATTTCCAGTTTCTTTCTTATGCCAAATTTGTCGTGAAGGCGGTACCAGTCGGACGGAATACTACCAAGTGACATTGGTTGCGTCTCAACCCTCTAGACCGCTACAATTCTTCCCAGGTACATACAACTGCATGCAGGAGTTCTGATACGTGTCGAGAACACGTGGGAGACTTGTTGCGGTGAATCGAGCTAGAACGGGTACTGCCGGTACGAAGAAGGGCCTTTTCGGCTGCTTGGGGCATGGGCCCATGTCTAGTCGAGAGCTCGGTAGAATTCCTATGGCTAATCTCGTGGGCTTCTGATTCGTGTTTCATTTTGGTACGATACCAGGAAACCTAGCTGGGCTACTGTAATGTCGAGTGCGGTCACTCGCATGACGGGAATGAGGCGTTACCAGTACAGGCATTCCACACAAACCTAATTCGCAGGACCAGGACTCTTGCTTATCGTGCACGATCTCTTGGCTCTGTAGCTTTATTCGACGTCTTCGCACAATCGTGGATTCTGGTGACCAACCATCGCGTTCCGTTCAGTGTTGCCTCTCATTCATCCAGTACCCAAACATGGCTGCCGAATTCTCTCTGGCCGAGACGCCAATCGGCAAATACTTCACATCCATGGCGGAGATGGGCGTATTGCGCGTCTTCGTTGAGCACGGCATCTTCGACGCCATTCCAGAAGAGGGAATCTCTCTCAAAGACCTTACGGAAAAACTGAGCATAGAGTACAAACTTCTGGAGCGCTTCACGGCCTTCTTTCTCGCTATTGGCATGCTGACTAGCCCGGAACCTGGCCGTGTGGCGCATACACCGGCGTCAAAAGCATTCACTGACCCCCGCGTCGCGCAATTCTATTCGTACCTCTTCGACTTCTTTATGGGGCCAACGACGCGGTGGACAGACTACTTCGAGGCGAACGGGCTCGCTGAGCCGGCTAGATCGAATCGTTCGCCGGGAGGGTTTGCGCTGGGCATGCCCGATAAGACAGCGTATGAAATCATGGCGGCGATCCCGGGGTTGGCCACAAGGATGAATGGGGCGATGGCCATTGACGGTGATATTCCTGTTACGGGAATGTATGATTTTGGCTGGGTAGCTGCATTTGCCGCAGGAAATGTCGGTTCGGAGAGGGAGCTGATCGTTGATGTTGCGGGAGGGAAAGGTCAGGCGTTGAAGGCTATCTTGGAGGAGACGCCTGCCATTCCTGCCGCCAGGTGTGTCCTGCAGGATCAGCCGCATGTCATCGCTGAGGCGGAGGAAGAGCACAAAGATTCTGCTGTTTTGGGTCCGGTGAAGAAGATTGGGCACAGCATCTTTAGAGAACAGCCCACCAAAGGTACGGAAATCGAGTTCTATCCTCTCAGGATACACGATACTTGCGCCATGAAACAAGCTGACGGACCACTCTAGGTGCTCTCGTGTATTACATACGTCGCGTCCTGAACGACTGGTCCGATCACGAAGCTCTTCAGATTCTAAAGAACGTGCGCGCGGCTTGCGCGGACGACTCGCGCGTGTTGATTGCTGAGTATCTGCGCCCTGAACAGCCTAGTGTATACACTAGCACGGTCGACATGTTCATCTTAAACATCGGCGGGAAGGTGCGCAGTGAAAAGGCGTTTGCCGAGCTTGCTGCGAAGGCGGGGCTGATGATCGCGTCGGTGGTGAGGCATGGAAAGACGGAGTCGGCGGTGGTTGAGATGGTACCCCAGCCACCGCCGATCTAGCTGGAGGGTGTCGCGTCCGTGCGCACAGAGACCGAAATCCCAAAGCGTACTAGTGCAAACTGCAGACATGCTCGGGCCGTTCCCTACGCCTCTGTCACTCTAGCCGTAGAATGCAACTAGAAATCTACCGAGCGTGTATCATCGTACTCAAACTGCTAGTTGCTGTTGTCGGAACGTTCCTCGGCCTTAGCCTCACACCGCCATGGTTGATCTGGATTCTGTGACCAACTCGTCCGTCGGCCGCGTCGGCTCCTCTGTGGGTACCTTAGGTGCTGGCTGACGTGCAACAACGGCGACCGGATATCTGTAGTCGGCAATGAGTCGAAGGGCCCACGGAGCGTGGGTGGGAGCATTGCACTACTCCGCCGCAGATGCATGATCCTGGCTGGAGACCACGACTTAGCCGCTATGGGAAGGATTGAGACGGCATGCAATGTAAGGGCCGGTGCAATCGTCTTCTATAGTTGACTTCGCAACTGCACGTGTTGAGCTGTCAACCTCGGCAATCATCTTCTCCAGTGCATGGGATGCTGACACAACCCGTATTTTGTATTCGTATACACTGCCAAAGAGCGTTGATATCAAGCTTTCTTCATTGCGCGCACAATGGGCTCCGCAAGGACATGGCCTATTGATGCCCTCACGGAGCATCAGGAGCTCCTCTCAATCTGGGTATTGTTAGAAGTAGCCCTATGCGCCGTATTAACCCCGGACAAATGACACGTAAGATACCTCAACTGACGTACGCTACAGGTCTTTGGGCATACCGTATGGTCCGTCATATACAATCTCTACTTTAACCCACTTAGGAAAGTGCCCGGACCTTTCCTGTGGTCTGTATCGCCACTCCCACTCCTGTTGATGTCATGGTCGAGCACGCCACACAAACAGATCCTGGCATTGCACAGGAGGTACGGCGACGTTGTCCGCACAAGCCCAGACTCAGTGTCATGCCTCCACGCAACAGCATGGAAAGAAGTGTACGGGCATCGTAAGCCCAGTCAGCCAGAGAACCTCAAGCACCCAGGCTTCGTAGCCGAAGTCGCCTCAGGTATCATCGGGGCCGACACAGAATCTCACACATATCAACGTCGTCTGCTAGCGCCCGCGTTCTCCGGGCAAGGCATACAGCGCCAGGAGCGTATCATCCGCCACCATGTCGACCAACTCTTCAGCTGTTTTGGAGAGCACTGCGCCGAAGGTCGATCCCTGGATCTGGCCAAGTGGTTCAACTTCTTCTCATTTGATGTCATTGGCGATCTCAGCTTCGGCGAGTCTTTTGCGAATATGGAGCGGAGGGACTTTCATCCATGGGTTGCGACAATATTGGAGTTCTTCGTTGCGCAACATGACATGGCACACTTCCGGCGGGCGTATCCGTTGTTGGAGGCGATGATAAGCCCGTTTGTTAGAATGTTTGCCAAGAAGATCATTGCGAAGCATAATCTGTTCATGCGTACTCAAGTTGCGAAGCGTTTAGCTTTGGAGCCCAGCCGGCCGGACTTCATTGAAGAGATGAAATCCGACAATACTCAGGGAAAATGCGTGAGTGCATCCACAATGCTGTCTTGGTCCCAATTC